CGAAGGCCCCGCCCCCGCGCGGACCCCCTCCGCGCCTCGCCGCCCCGCCCCTCAGATCCGACCGCTCCGCCCCGCGCCGGCCAATCGCAGCCCCGGGACGGTGCCCCCGCGCCGCCCTCGGCCCTCGGCCCGCGCCTGCGTCCCTCGCTCCCCTCCCCTTCCCCGTCCGGCCCGGGAAGCGCGGTAGGGAACTGGCGGCGGGCGTCCAAGCAGCTCTCAGTCCCGGGTGCGACGGGCCGGGCCTTGCCCAGAAGCCGCAGCGCGCCGGGACCCCAATGCCGGCCGGGCTCTGAGGCCTCCAACCGCAAGCGAAACGCAAAGCGCTATACAAATAAGGGGTGACCCAGTTGCTGTCTGGTGGCGACTAGCGGCATCTCCGGCCCGGGCCCCTGGCCCAGATCGAAGTAGCGCGGGGAACGCAGCTGGAACCCACCGGGGGTGCACACTCTCCAGCGGCCCACCCTGGGCTGAGCGAGCGCTGCGCGGGGACCCCAAAGCTCCCGCAGCTCACATAGGACAGGGGTCAGCCTGGGGGATCCAACCTGGTGGGCGGTCCTGGGAGAGGCAGCAGAGTTGAGGTTTGAAGGACAAGCCCCTCAGAGGGGCCAGGGCGAGGGAGAACAAGCGGGGAGGGTGCTCTGGGGCACCCTGGGTGCCCAGAGGGTAGGTCACTCTGTAAGGCATGAAGGGAGGTTTTCAGACTTAAAGGGAGGGGCCGGACACACAGGAGTGCAGGAGTCATCACTGGGCACCCAGAGACAGGCCGCATGCAAGGCTGGCGGCCCACTCCAGGCCCAGAGCTCACGCAGGCCCCCCTGTCCTGCCATGGTCCCATCTCCCTGGGCAGGGAGCAGGCCCGGCCTCACCGGCATGTGACATGTGCCCGTGACACATGTCACACAGGACCCTTCTCTGGTTTGACACTCTGCTGCCACTGTCTTGAAATTCTCCATGATTTTTTTTTTTTTTTTTTTTTTTGTGGTACGGGAGCTTCTTACTGTCGTGGCCTCTCCCGTTGCAGAGCACAGGCTCCGGACGTGCAGGCTCAGCGGCCATGGCTCACGGGCCCAGCCGCTCCGTGGCATGTGGGATCCTCCCAGACCGGGGCACGAACCTGCGTCCCCTGCATCAGCAGGCGGACCCTCAACCACTGCGCCACCAGGGAAGCCCTCTCCGTGATTTTTGACCAAGAGGCCCTGAACTTCATTTGGCACCAGGCCCTCCCAGACACATCCACACAAGCCAGGTGACAGGGACACATGATGCTGCAAGGCCCCTTGCACCGGCGGTGTGGTGTGCACACGTGCTGCCGTTTAGACAGACACACGCCAGGCGCAGCCTAGAAGTCAGAGGTGGGGAGACTCCCCTCAGCTGTGCCTCCACAGCCCACCCATTGGTGGAGGCCCTGGGCCGTGTGGGGAGGACCTCAGCATGGGGCCCAGATGCCTCCTCCCCATCTGCCCTGGGCCTCTCAGCTCAGCAGGGGAGCCAGGCTTGGGGGAGAGTGGCCACAGGCCTGGATGCAGCCTGCACCCTGGACTGGGTCTTCCCAGTCACTGAGGCCGCCCACTGGTGGCGTCCACACCATCGGATGGTCCCAAAAACTAAAGTCCAAAGAGGGAAGGACTCGCCCAAGGTCAGCAGAACTCAGATGGGAGAAAAGAAGAAAAGAAATCGGGGAATAAGAAGGAGGAGGAAGGTGGCGGGGGGGAGGCCCGTCAGTGACAAAGTGACAGACTGAGAGAGTGAGAGGTGCCCGAGGTAGCATGTCTGGGGGACGTCTGCTGGGCTGGGGGCCCAGTGAGGTCTGGCAGCCCTGCGGGGCCCTGAGGACCACTGCACCAGTCCTGCGCTGCCCCGGCGGGCTCTGAGGAGAACTGCAGCTCAAGCCCCCAGGGCGGTGTCCTTGCAAGGTCCTCCCTGAGCCCAGCTGGCCCTGGTAGGGAGTGGGGACAGGAGAGCCCCAGCATCCCCGCCCTGCCCACATGCCAGCCAGCCTGGGGCTTCCCACAGTCCCTCCACCCTGTCCTCCGCCAAGGATTCTTTGGCGTGTCTGGACCCCTGGAAAGGGATACAGCGGTGCCCACGCGCCAGGGACCCAGTGAAGAAGTGAGCCTTGCAGGGCCCCCATCTGGGCCCCGTAGAGACCACTGGCCGCAGCTCTGCCCAGAGAGCAAGTGGCAGCCGGTGACCCCTGGAGATCCTGGGGAACTCCAGCAGCCTCTTGCTATCTTTCCCTTGGCCCAGCTCAGGCAGCCCCACGCACCCAAGCCAGGGATGGACACTCAGGGCCCCGAGGGTCGCAACGCACGAGAGGGCCTGCGCTCAGTATGCGCACTGGACACAGGAGAGCTGACGAGGGCTGAAGGACATGTCTGTCTCCCCAGCCTGGTCACAGGCAGGGCCTCTGAGGACAAGGGTGGGGTCCTCCCCCCGTTGCCCGTCCTCCGCTTCATCACACTGCAGCTCAGGGCGGGGGTGGAAGGGTGGCCTGGGTTCCCACGATGGGGCCCAGCACCCAGGCTGCCCTCTCCCCAGCCTCACTCAGCCAACACCATGCCAACGCCCCCAGAACTCCTGCCGAGCCCTCTGTTTCTAAAACCTGCACCCATCACCCCAGGTGAGCCTGTGAGTCTGAGCTGAGATTAAACCAGAAAACCACCAAGGATGCCAGGGACAATGGCAATGAGGACGTGAGCACATCAAGGCCACCAGTGGGGTGCTTCCCAGCCCCCAGGAACCCTGTCCTCAAAGTCCAGCCGTTCCTCCAGCAAGGGGACCCCGGTGAGACATGCTGAGAGGGTGACAGCTGGCTGGCTCAGCCTCGGTCTGTCCCGGGACCAGGAGAGTATCCAGCCAGCAAGGCCCTTGGGCCAGGCGTGGGGGAGACCAGGAGGCCACCCAGCGCTGCCCCCGCTGCCCCACGGGCCGCGACGTACCTGGGTTTGCGGCAGGGAAGAAGGTAGGCGGTGCCCGGCGCCCCTGAAGGCTGGCCAGGCGGCAGGTAAGCAGTCAGCAAGGCCAAAGCCGGAGCTCTGTGGAAGGAAGACGGGCAGAATGGAGGCCGTGCTGCACCTCATTCCCAGCCTCTGTGGGGCTCTCCACTCAGGACCAGGTCCCTGCAGGGGCAGTGGGGGCTGGGTGGTGGTGCACTCAGACTCAGGGGGCCAGAGCACCAACCAGCGGCCCAGACCGGGGGGCTGCATCCCCACCCTCTGGTCACTCAGCCTTCTGAGATGCCCTGGCAGACACGAGAGTACCCACATGCGGACATGCACACAGAGAAGACACATGTTCAGAGTTGGGGACACACACGGACTGAGGGCCGTCCAGCCCCCAGCGGTCCTGGAGCCCTGAGACCCGCCGGCATTGTCCACTCATTCTGAGGTGCCCTGCACCCCACGCCCTCCTGGGTTCCCAGCAGACAGATGCCATGAGCCACCAGCCTTACGCTCTCCCCAGGGAGCCAACAGGCGATGACTCACATGGGGCCGTGAATCTGCCGTTGGCGCTCGAAGGGGGATTCTGTCCTCCCCTACCAGCCAGGGATTGTGGGGGGTGGGGGTGGGGGGGCAAGCTCACACGCCCCGCCCATCACACCTCACCCCTCAGACCAGCGGCTCCTTGCAGCCTGGGGGTGGATCAGGTGTCTTTCCAGCGGCTCAGGGGCAGGACGGGACAGCCACACTGGCACATGCCCACCCCGTCACAGCCATGCCCTCGTGGGCAGCCCACTGCCAGCCAGTCCACTCAAACCCACACCTGGGGCAGACATGAAGCCGCTGAGCGGATGGAGGCCCCGGCAACGTGAGACCTGTCCCTTCATTTAGGGGAACGAACAGCACCCACCACGGTGGGGCGAGGAGGCACGTGGGCCCAGGGCCCGGGACCACCCCCCCCCAGCAACCGCTGTGCCCAGGGAAGACGCGTCCGTGGAGGGGTTTCAGGCCCAGTGACACATCGAGGGCAATGAGTGGGAGGGACGCACCCCTCCCGTGTTCTTTGATGAACCCCCTGCCCAGGAGCTGAGGGGCCCAAAGCCCATAGCCACAGTGCAGAAGCAGAAGACCACGCATCGCAGCCCACCACCCCTCCAGGCCTGAGGCTGCGTCTGCACACCCCGCACCCCCAGACCTGGGCGCCAGGCCCTACTGGGCAGCTCCACCAGCACCCCTCCTGGCCCCCACCCCAGAGGCACCCCTGGACCCTCCATGAATAACCTCCCCGCCTCCTGGCCCCCACAATGCCCCTCCATGAGTCCGGGGACCCCAGCCGCATCCTGGGCAGCCCAGCCACAAGCCTGCAGTCAGGGTATGGGTGCAGGGCCCGACAGCACCGGGCTGGCCCTCTCCCTCACCCAGGCCCAGCCTCCTCCTCCAGGAAGCCTCCTTGCCCCACACCCTGCTCTGGGCTTCCTTTGAGCACAGGTTCCGACATGCCTGCGTCCCCCGGAATGGCTCGTGCAGCCGGCAGTCAGGATGCGGGCTGAATGAGAAGCCCGTGACAGACCCTCCCGCAGCCGTCCAGCCCTAGGCTGGGCCTTCTGAATTCCCCGGGGCCCCAGGGCGGGGGCAGGCAGGGACCTGGGGGAGCGCGAGCCACACAGAGGTCGTGGGTGCCTACCTGGCCAGACCAGGGTCTAACTCAGAGAAGGACCTCCCCGAACGCCAGAACAGAGCTTGCCCCGGAGGCCTTGGAGGCCGGGGGTGGACAGCAGCAGGGCCCGGCCCGGAGCACACACCCCAGCGGGCAGCACAGGCCGCGCTGTGGGCAGCACAGGCCCCAGAGCCCACCCAGGCCCGCACCCCCTCCCGCCTCCCCCCACCCAAGCTGCAGCCCCTGGGGCTGGGAGACACCCCCTCCAGGGGAGGGGTCCCCGAGGAAGAGGCCGCGGGGGGCCCCAGGCTTTCCCTGGGCCCACCGAGGCCAACCCCAAGCTCAGGGCCCTCCCCTGCCAGCCTGCTGCTCCCGCCGCCCCCAGGCCCCGGGAGCACCCTTCTCCGGTGCCCACAGTGTACATGCCCCACCTCAGCGCTGACACCCCACCCGCCCCCTCCTGAGCGGTGCCCTCGGGGAGCCCCATGTGGGGCCAGGCTGGCAGAAAATCACATGATCACGTTCCCAAAGGCCATGGGCCCAGCCTGTCCACAGGGTCATTAGGCTGGGCCAGCTCAGCCTCAAGCATGCCTGCAAATACCACCACTCTCGAATACCACCCCGGGGGCTGGGGCCCAGAGGGTTACCGTAGATGCTGCAGGCGGGTGACCCCGTCGGACCCTGGGGAAGCGTCCGAGCACCCCACTCACCCCACCGCGTGAGCACGAGTCTACCCAAGGCAGCCGGGGCTCCGGGCTGAGCCTGGGACCCCCAGGCCCACACAGCCAGTATGGGGACCCTCCAGCTGGGCAGTGTCTGGTTCCACCCACGCTTCACAGATGGGGAAGCGGAGGCTGTGATCCAGGACCAGGGGCCAGGGTCAGCTGACTCCCAGCCTGTTTCCAGGACAACACTCAGGGCCAGAGGCTGTCTGCAGCTAAAACTTCAATCGCTGATTTCCCCTTGTCCCCTGCCTGCCCTGAAGTGACCCTCCTCTAGCAGGAAACAGGGCTCTTGGGTTCCAAACCACATGTAAGCACAGCCCTCCCTCCCTGTGCCCCCGCCCCTGGGGGCAGGACACCCCATTCTCGGAAAACAAGCGCCTCACTCTCCCTGCCCCACCTCCGGCCCTTCCCAGAGGTCTGGGCCACATCTGTGCTCACACCCCACTGCCCCTGCAGGCAGGCCTGGCCCCGCTCCCCCTGACCCTGTGTGTTGGGCTCCCGGGGCACCCTCCTGCCCCTGCCCACCCTGCGGAGAGCCAGGCCCACGCCCCAGCCTGCCCCCCCACACACACACACGAGGGGGCCAGCTGAGCAGGGGGCAGGGCTGACCTCTGAGGCTCCCCTTGGTCCTCAGGTCTAGCCTGGCCAGGCCTGAGCCAGGGCAGAGTGGAGGCGGAGGGTCAAGTGCCCCAAGGGGCCTCTGTGCACATGTGTGTAGGGGACCTGCACACAGGCAGCCACACTGCTCCACACAGCCTCTCCTGGGAAATCAGGGAGCTGGAGGGAGGAGACTCCCCCCAATCTACACACAGCTCTCAGAATTCCAGGAATGTCAACTTGGCTCTCGGGCCCCTCAGTCTCTGGGAGTAAACAACTTCTGGGGCCAGAGCAGGATGAGGCGGACCATGGGCCCCTCCTCCAGGAAGCCTTCTGCCCACACCCGCTCCCGTTACCGAAGAGCTACCCAGATGGCATCCCAGATCCCTCCCCTGTTTCCCTCACCTCCACAGGTGCGGCAGCCTCTACAGCTGAGCCCGGCTCCAACCCCAGGCCACTGTGACTCAAGGCCCCTGCCCCCGCCGGGGACAGGATGTGTCCCGTCAGCCTGGGAAGGGGGGGCACTGGGCAGGGAGGTGGCCTCTGCTCGTGGCTCCGCACGTGGCAGGGTGGGGGATGGCAAACGTCACTGGGGAGGCTGTCAGGGCCCAGACTTCAGGCGGGCAGAAGCTCTGATCAACCTCTCCAGGACACTGGGGACCCCCATCTCCCTGCCCCTCAACTAAATCCAGACTCCGTCACCCACCCTGAGAGGACTGTCAGGCCCCACCCACCCCAACCAGAAATCCAGACGCCCCAGACCAGCAAATGTGCCCAGACTCTGCATAGGTGCCTAAGTTACAGGGGCCACTGTGAGACACATCCACCTTTCTCAGCCCAAAGCTCACCTCCTCCAGGGAGACTTCCCTGCTTCTCACGGCACACAGCCACAGGATCAGGGGGCTCACCCCAGGCCATCTCCAGAGACACAGCCTCCCCTCCCTTTAAATCCTTCATGGCCCCTGCTCCATCACCTCCAGCTCTGACACCTACTCTGTCCCACAGGTACAGCCTCCAGGCCTCAGCCCATGGGTCCCCTTTGCCGGTATCTGTCCTGCTCCCTCACACACACTCGGGATCCCTTGTCAAGGCTCAGCTCAAAGGACACCACTTCCACGACGACCCCCTGACCACCCCCCGGTCCTCAGAGACCCGACGCTCCCAGATCGCAGGCGCCCGACTCATCAGAGCCTGGCCTGGGACGGGTGCAGCCAGCCCCATCCCGCACCCCCTCGCAGCCCCTCCCCCGGGAAAAAGGCAGGAGGGACAGGGGCGAAGCGGACCGAAGCGGCGCTGGGGGTTGGAGCGGCCGGCTGAGCCCGCCACCCGCCGGGTCACTCGCACCGCGCCCTCCCGCCATCAGGGAGACGGACAACTACCGGGCCGGGACCGTTACTGTGCGGGCGATCGGGCTGGGCGGCGACTCCGAGGGTCCTCCAAACTCAGCGCAAAGACCCCCGGGTGTCCACGGGCAGCGGCTCCAGGTGGAGAGACCCTCCCCCCTTCCTGGTCCCCACTGGCCGCCGGTCAGCCGCTCTCCTCGCCCGCAGCGGGGTCGCCGCGCCCCGGCCCGGCCCGGCCCGCAACTTGTTGCTGAGACTCGGCTCGTGCTCTGCGCTCGAGGCCTGAAATTCGCGCCGGCTCGGCTTGGGCCTGGGCCCGGCTCGGGCGCGCGGGCAGCGGGACCCGGACTGCATCCCCGCCGGGGGCGCTATACCTGCGGGCAGTCAGCTCGTCGCGCAGCTGTCAGTCATGCGGACACGAGAAACGCGAACGCCGCCGCCGGGCCCTTACGGCCCCGCCCGGACGCCGTAGGCCGGGATGTACCAACGTGGCAGGCGGGGGGCGCCGCCTGCTCCTGCCGCGGCCGCACTCGGAAACTCGTCGCGGAGGGAAGCGGCCGGCAACGGCACCAGGGCGGGCGGACGGCCGGGCACCCCCCGCGCCATGGGCGCGCCCGGGGCGGGGCCGGAGCCGAGGGCGGAAGCGCCGCAGGATCAAGGAGTTTGGCCGCTGGCTGCTCCGGTGCCGCCATGATCATCCCTGTGCGCTGCTTCACGTGCGGCAAGATCGTCGGTAACAAGTGGGAGGCCTACCTGGGGCTGCTGCAGGCCGAGTACACCGAGGGGTGAGGCGCCGGGCCGGCCCGGGAGGGCCTCCAGCGTGGTCGGGAAGCGCTCCCCGGGCCGCCAACCTGCGGGGCAGGGGGGTGGTGGGTCCCGGCCTGAGGGGCCTGGGGGGCCGGGTCCCGGCCCGCGGGGTCGGTGTGTCGGGCCGGTGTCGGGGGGTCCCAGTCTGCAGGGCGGGGGCGGGGGCTACTCACATCAGATTCCAGGTGACCCTGGGCGGGGGAGCTTTCAGTCTCGGAGTCTTTTCCATCCCTGTTCTCCGGACCTGTTCTCAGGAAAGCGCCCCCCCCCCCGACCTCTTAGTTTGGGGAGGGGAGGGAGTCGGGCGTCAAGCTGCTGCCGTCTGGGGACTCCTAGGTATCCTGGCGAGTCTCGCCACCTCCACGGCAAATAAGCCCTCAGCCGCCTCTGTCCACCTGCTCCCTAACTTCTCCCCGCTGTTAGGCCCACCCCCGTGTACTGCAGACTCACTGGCTTATTTAGGACATAGGACAAGCTTCCTGACCACATAGGCCTCATCATCAGGCTATTGTGGGGGTCCCTCTTCTGTGCTTACTTATCCCTTAGCACTGCAGTTACCACCGTGCCTGTCGGAGTCTCTACCCTGGACTAGAGTCTGACCTTGGGCCCCTGTGTGGACAGCCCCATCCTCATCACATTTGAACCTCTGGGTCCCGGGATGTGCCAGGGAGGCGTAGGCTCTTAGTGCAAGTGTGTCGGATGAACGGGGAAGCGATAGATGGCCTTAGTATTTGCGCCAAGTTCCGAGGAGGCTGCTGAAATGACCAGAGTGCAAGTGAATGCTGGCAGCCTGCACGGGACCCCTCCCCAGGATGCCCCAAGCAGGGGCCACCCGACCTGGCCTCCCCTTTCCCAAGCCACCGCATCGTCTGCACACCAGAGGCCTTGAGGGTGACGGGCGGCGTCTCTGGGAAATGAGAGAGGTGTCTCCCTCCCCGACATGGGGAGCAGAGCCCGTGGCAGCTGAGCAGGGCTTGCTCCAGCCGGGGCAAGGTCCTCCATCTGCCAGGACAAACAGGTTGCAGCCAGCTTTCTCCTCGCCCTCAGGGACGCTCTGGATGCGCTGGGCCTGAAGCGCTACTGCTGCCGCCGCATGCTGCTGGCCCACGTGGACCTGATCGAGAAGCTGCTCAACTACGCACCCCTGGAGAAGTGACCCCTGCCCGGCAGGCCGCGTCTCGCCCACGGCTCGTTCCCTGGAGGTGTGGGGAGCTGGAAGCAAGGCCCGCCCACCCGTGGCCCTGTCGGCATGGGTCTCCCTCTCTGGAAAGAACCGTCCAGTAAATGGTTTTGAGGACCACAAGGAGGTCCTGACAGTTGGCCTGGCTCTGTGAGGCTCCCCGCTGCCCGCTCCTGTGTCCTGCCTCGAGCATGAGGCCGCTTGGGGTGGGTGCGGCCCTCACGGCCTGGGAGGGGGGAGGGCCATCCCCAGGGATGAGGCCTGGGAGGGGGGAGGGCCATCCGCAGGGAGGCGCTCAGCCGGGGGCTGCTTTCCTCCAGGGCTCACACTCGGCTCCACACAAGGCACAGATGTCGGGAGTGCTTGGGCGCTGGCGTCCCCACAGCGGTGTTCCGGGCGCCCTTTAGGCTCAGGACAGACGCCCTCACCTCTTCCTCCCCGGTGTCTGAAGAACCTCGAGGCTTTCTGAGCCCTGAGTAGAGTGCCCGCTGTGGTTAGACGCCCATCTTGACAGTCCTGCTGCCAGCAGCTTCCGGGCTGCCCCCAAGGCCAGCAGCCCGCTCCCCTCCACAGACAACTCAGATCCCCACAGTGGGTGGGAGGGGCCCTGCCGGCTGGGCTGGATGGGTTCTCGGTGCCCCAGGCACTGACATGCCACCCTGTGAACCAGCGGAGCGCTGCCTCTCGGAGGCCTCTGTCCTGTTGTGGCCAGGCTGAGGTTCAGAACGGGAAGCTGCCGCCTTGGCGGGGGTCAGGCAGGCCCTGGTGCCCTGCAGCGGGCAGAGGGCAGGGCCGTGCAGTTAGCGAGGGAGGCGCCCTTCCCCGGGCACCTTCCTCAGGGCTGGCCCAGCTGCCCGGACGCCTGAAGTGGGGTTCCCTGAACGCACGGGAGGGGACCACGGGAGGAAGATGGGGTCTGTGCAGCGGTGTGAGGAGCTGGGCGGCCCCTGGGCGACAGGGCACGATGGCCACGCCCTGGCTGCCCCTCCAGGCCCAGCACCCCTTCCAGCCCCAGCTCCCACTGCCAGCACACATCCTTCCAGACACACCCCGGACTCGCTCCTGAGACACCAGCCCCAGCACCTTCTCCCGTTCCTGATTCCTGCACTGTGGCCAGAAGGGCCCCTGGAAACCACAAGCAGTCCCGGCTACTCCCCGAGGTCTAGCCCCACTTCCTCTGGGGCTCTGGCCACACCACCAGCTTTGCATCAAGGCCTGTCCCCAGCCACCTCTCCCTCGAGTCCCCTTGGCCCACAGCTGGCCCCCTGTCCTCCTCTGTTGTGGCCCTGGGTGGGGGGATCTGTCCACTCTGCTGGACGTGACGGCCCTGGGGACCAGGACTGTCTGTGTCACCAACATAGTAAGTTCAGCCATCCGCTCCACAGACGTTTATTGAGCACCTACCACACAGCAGGAGCAGTCCTAGGCATCGTCAGGCGGCAGTGAATAAAACCTGCAGGACGCCTGCCTCCAGGGAAGAGGTGACAGCAGTGAACTAGTGATGCGAGGCCTCTAGATGGTGGTGAGAGCAGCGGGAACACAGCGGGGGGAGCGGCAGAGGCCTGGCCCTGGGAGAACTCTTGCTTGGTTTTCCCCAGGGGCTGGACGTGGCTTGCTGAAGGAGAAGCCCGCAGCACCTGAGGGGCCTCAGGGCAGGCACACGGGGCTCCTCACCTGCTGCCGCCCGGCTCCCCGCTGGGCCAGCCCATTGCTGCCCAACTCGGCCCCTCTGACTGAACCCAGGCCTCAGGGAGCAACCCGAGGCCACGACCCCGGCCCCCACCCACCCACCCAGCCCAGCAGACAGGCAGACAAGTGGGGCCGACCCCAGGCCTTGGGACTTTGGTGTGCAGCTAAAGGCACTTGAAGCTGCCTCCGGGGTTTGGGGCTCCCCAGAGGTCACGGTGATGGCACGGTGCGGGGGGCGGGGGGGCCCAGGCACGAGAACACCAGGGGGAGACCCTGGCAGGCAAAGGGCGGGGCCACGTGCTGGACCGCAGCTCCCTGGCCATCAGTAGTCAACGCGTGGCAAGAAGC